GCCCTGCTTCAGCGTAGTGTCTATGCTTGGAGACCCTCGTTCGTCACGTCATTCAAGCCTCTGTGCAGTTGCCACCTCCTGACAATGGTTGACAGTCAGGTTGAGGTCAACGATCATTCTTGCCAAGACCCTGTCATCGCAAGCTTGTATTATGCGAATTTCTGTGATAGTCTACGTCAGACCAGTGTCAAAATCCTTTCCTGAAATCTTTCTTGACGTCAGCAGTTCGACAGCAATTGAAAAGTGAAAAGCAGGAAGATGTTGCACCTAGTCGACTGTCACCCCAAGTGAAAGAAACAATGCAAGGTTGGGTGCAAACGTTTCGAGATTGCGTTGCACCGGAATATGCTCTTATCCCCCTTGAGCTTTTTGGTCTCTTGAGAGGTTGGTGTGTATGTGATGTGCGTCGTGAAGTTTTGCCCGTGTGTGTTCAGGAACAAAAGACTCACCATGCATGCATATTGTACTGTGCCTTCGGCTTGCGGTCAAGCATTGGGGTCACAAGATTGGGTTTATCTTCGAGGGCAATTCGACCTCCGATGCTAGCTTCGATGATGTAGACCTGAACAAGCAAGTCGAAAGTTGAGACACATGCATTAGCCGTCATCCCAAAATGATGTTGTCGCTGCGTTCCATGATGCAGGAGAAGCCTCAGGTTTCCCGTTTCGCGCAAGTCAATGTTCCAGAGCATTGGGATCAACAGATTCACAGTATGTGGGAAAACTCGCTGGTGGGAATGCCGGAAGGGTTGAAAGTGCATCCTGCAACTGCCGATGCCTTTGGCAAGTTGGCCCAAAGCAGAGCAGATTGGGACACCACACAGTGTGCGATTTATGTTGACGGCTCAGTAAGTGCCAAAGGCAAAGCATGGGGTATGGTAGTCACTTTGCGAGGTGCCCATCGTGGCGATGATGTGTCAAAGGTGTTTGCGCTGGAGTTGTCTCTTCAAGCCCAGACCACCCACAGTGGTTAGGAGCTGTCTGGGAAGACAGTGTGGAATCGGAGCTTGCGGCCATTTTTGGGCCCTTGCATATGCACTCTCCTTGTTGCTTGATGTCCAAATTGTCTTGGTTCTCGCGCGAGCTTATTGACGGCATGGTAGCCCCCCGGTGTGACCGACCACTTATTGGATTAGTCTCTAGCTTGGGGAGGCTTGCCCGCAGCAAAGGGCTGATAGCGACATTGCGGGCGCAAGCACACAGGCCACGCTTGGAATGAGCTGGCAGATAGAATTGCTCAATACGCAGCTGCCAATGGTCCACTGGAACAACCTAATTTCTCTTGGTTGCAGGAATTGGTTTGCCATCCTGAGGAGCTCGAATGGTGGTCTGTCTTGTACCACCATCGTCGACAGTACGCGTGGCCAATGTCTCCAGCAGGTTTGCTCAATGTTGGAGCCCAGCGCCGGTTGAGGCACCAGTGGAAACTGAAAAATTTGAGCAAGCAGAGGCTCATTTAGTCAACCTCAAGCTCCTCACATGTAATGCGCTTTCCTTGGTTGATGATCTGTCTTTTGACCAAACAGGGAGAAGAGGTTGCATCGCGCAGGGCTACAGGAAGCCCGCGCAGAAGCTGGAGCTTCCTACACGGATCACTACAAGATCTGCAGTGCAGGAGCTGCAACGATAGGGCAATCCAAGCATCATGGGTGTGAGCTATGGATCCACCGCGCCAAATCATGGACGAAAGGCTCGGACATCGGTTATGAGCAAACGGTTTTCGCAGTGGCGCATCAGGAGCCTAGATTGCTCGCCATTCGGGCCGACAACCCACTTGGGAAATGGTTTCTTGTGCCGCGCATGCTCCCTACTGGAAAGGTAAGGAGTCGGCCAGGAATCTGTGTGATTGGTGGCAAGCACTGGGCAAAGTTGTTAGCCAAGCCCCAAAAGATGCCATTTTGGTACTCTGTATTGCTGTATAGATGCTAATGCCACTTCCGAACTAGTTGGTGATGCAGGAGCGCAGCCTTCCAATGGGGCATCCAGTTTCGTCAGTGATTTCGTCCAGGATGCCCGTGTTGTTTGCCCCTCCACCTTTCCGAACACTCATGTAGGCCCTCTATGGCACATGGAAGCGCCCTGCTGGAAGTTGGAAAAGGATTGATTATATAGGCCTCTCAGAACAGCATGCGCCCATGGCCATCCAGACAAGTACCTGGATGAGTCTTGACAGTGGGTGATCATGTTCCACTGGCTATGGACTTTCGAGGGCGCATGGTTGCAAGGCAGTGCTCACCGAAAGAGCAAAATCGATCGCAAACTTTGCCAGCAAGCAGACAAAGTTCAGGAGTTTCAGCAGAAACTGGCCCAACTTCCGCAACCACAATGGGATGTTGATATCGACACACATGCGCATTGACAGAGGAGCCAAATTCGAGCACTAGCAGAAGAGGTGTTTGCCCCGCAGCCCAAGCCAGGAAAGCCCTCGCGCGTGTCACAGCAAACAAGGGCGACGATCGCTTGGAAGAGGTATCTTTTGGATGCCTTTCCACGGAATGGGGATTTGGTGTGGGATGTCATCTTTAAGTATGAGCTTCGAGAGGCAGAGAAGAAGGTCCGCAAAGCATGTCATCAAGATCGTCAGGTGTTTTTTGATGAAATTGTCCGAGATCTTGACAGAGAAGGGTTGGCAGGAAACTTTAAAGAAGTGTTTGCTCGCCTCGCCATGCCAGGACGCAAATCCAAGTCTGCCGCAACTCGGAAGGTGTTGTCCATTTTGAAAACACCAACGGGGTTGATGGCTGAACGGCTGAACCCTATTCCCAGCAGCAAAAGATATGGTTCGAAAGGTTTGCAGAAATCGAGGCTGCTGAAAGTCTTTCCATTGAAGAGCTGCAAGCTAGGCATTTGCACAGTCCAGGCTCGCAGCTGGAGATTCAGCGACGTGATCTCCCTTCCTATTGAGAAGTCCAGCGTAAAATTCGTAGATAGACTGTATTCCTAATGAGGCGCTGCAGGCTGGAGGGGATACCATGTGCCACATGTTACATGAGGTGATCACAAAGGCAATGCGCGCTGCAAGAGAGCCGTTGGAGGGGAAAGCTGGCATTGCCATTCCTCTCTACAAGAAAGGAGCGGTGACAGAGCCAGCTAAATTGCCAGCAAAGCCTGTTTTGGTGGGCGACAAGGTAGAGGCACTGACTTTGGTCATCATGTTGTCCAGATTATGTTGAGCGCCGCAGCGTCTGCTGGTCTGTCCGCAGCCTTTGTTTTCCTTGACCGTAACTCTGCATTTTACAGTGTCATTCGGCAAGGGCTCTTTGGTCAGAATCTCTCCGTTGCCTTCTTGTGCAGCTTTCTAAAGTACTATGGTGTCAGTCCTGCAGAGATTGATGAATGGGAGAGACAAGCGCAGCAGGATGCTGCGCTGCAAGATCAAAGCCCACTCGCGCAGCAAATCACAGCCGATGATTTTTGCAATGCACATTTCCACATGCGTGGGTTGGAAGCAGTGGCTCGTACTAGCCGAGGGACTCGACCGGGAGACCCAATTGGTGACACTGGCTTCAACATCGTCATGCAAAAGGTCATGCGTGAGGCAAGAGCCAGGATTGCAAGCTGGGGAGGGCTTGACTTGTTTGAAGGGCGTTGGGATGAGGCCATCAGCTCTGGGCAGATTTGCTTTGCCGACGTGGCCTTCTTTGATGACGTCGCCTTCGGTCTCATTCACAGGGCAAATCCAGCAGTAATCAAGGCTGCTGCCATCACCGCTGCGGCATTATGTGACTCAGCCCGTACCAGAGGCTCGCAAGTGACTTTCAAGCCAGAAAAGATTGAACTGATGCCTATGCTGCGGGGCCCTGGTGTGAGGAAGTTCAAGCATAACCTGTGGGTCACCCAGGGAGGCCAGATTCCGGTTTTGCTTGAAAATCACGCAGAGTGCCTTAGGTTGGTGCGCTCGTACAAGCACTTAGGTTCGTTTGTCCAATGCGATTCCAAAACCGTGTAGAGAGGTGCAATACCGTATTGCGAGTGCTCGCGAAGCATGGGGTCCACTTGTCAAGTCATGGTGGACAAATCGTAACATTGCACAGAAGAACAAAAATTATTTGTTCGGCGGCCTTGTGGCGCCTCGCCTTCTCTACAACACTCATATTTGGTCGTGGTTTGGTGCGTCAGAAATGCACAAAATTCAAGATGCATTTAAGAAGATCTGTGTCGTTCGATCAGCGCTTGGTTGGCGCACGCGGCAAGAAACCAACCACCTTGATTTTGGCCAGATTGCAGATGCTTTTCATATGTTTGTCTGGAAACTCAATCCACAGCATGTGGACGGCAAAATTCCCCCTTGTTTGCGGGGACTGCATCAAGCTGTGAGTTTTGAAGACGTGACTGTGATCCAACCCGACTATCATGGTCACTAGTTGGCTAGGCCATTTTCCTTGCATGCTCTTTGAACCAAGAGCCTCTTGAGACTCAGCATATGCGAAAGGAAAAGGAGTCGTACCCCACCTTATCTACTTCACGCGTTTCGCTTCATCAATCTCAGCTGATCCACGCTTGATGCTAGCTGCTAGCTTTTCCAGCCCTGCTCACTCAAGTTCCACTTGATGAAAGAGGTTGAAAGCGACTAAAAAGATTTCTTTATAATACCTCAAGTCAGGCTTGGTGACTTGAGCCTTTTGTTAGCAGATCCTTCTTGCATCCATACTCCTCTAAACGCTCACACAGGGCAAGGTGAATAATTCATGTGAAAGTTTACTGCCAGACTTTCTGTTTAGCACTTGGAGTTTGTTGTAAGTTGTGGCAGCTCCACTGCTACATGGGAGTTGATCTAAAGGGGAGTGTAAGGGGGCTTTATATTTTTATATAAGAACATACCAGTCACTATTTGTTGATACGAATCTCTAGCGCCAACACATGTTAGCCAGACACGGCTTTAAGACCATGCTTCGTGATGAGGCCGTGAAGGACATTTTTTCCGTGAAGAGTGGCTATTCCATCGTGAAAGAATGTTAATCATATTGTTTCTGTTTGCCGCAAGATTGCCTAGCTGGCCAGGTATGCCTTTGTCATCCACACCCGGTCACCTTTGCCGGGTGCCTCTCCGAGCTCTGCTCTGGTCGAGCTCTGTGTAGGGCTGGGCGAGTCGCTTGTGTCAAACGCACCTGGTCGTGCTCTTTCAGCAAGCGTGGAAGGCCGTGTGGGCTGGGTGGAATGTGGGCCGTGCATTTTTGCGGTCGAAGTGGATGTGAAAGAATGTCCGTATGATTTGGATTCGAACTTTCGCCCTGTAGTTTTGATAGGTCAGGCAATCAATGTCCATGTGTACCCCTCCAAGCCTGAGGGTGTCTTTGTGCCGCCAGGTGCCAATGCCGCTTAAAAAGACGACACAAACCCTTTCAACACGCAGCACTGCACGATCCTTGCACCTGACACGTCATTATGATATGTGCTAAGCCGGCTTTGACCTTTTTGCGTATTGTTGGAGGTGGCACAGCCATTTTCCGTTCTGACTCCAACGGCGAGGTGGACAAAAGTACCAACATGTTTGCTTTGATGTCCCAAACTGTTCATGTTGATGTTCAGTTTTGCTCTCCTTTGGCACCGGAGGACCTTGAAGGTTTTGCCGGCGCTGGGCTCTACGACTCTGTCACGGTGAAGGATTGCCACTGGCACTGAAAGAGACTACGGCTCGAGAGAACCTGGATTCTTTGCATGTTTGGTATGGAATGCTCCGGAGTCCAACCTGTTGTTCTGTGCAGATGGTCGCAGAGTTTGCAAAGAGAGATGTGAGACATGCAAACTCTATGTTGGCGGCTCTCTATGTGTTTGTCTCTTATGTATCAACACAGTGTGAGCAAGGCAGTCAAGCCCATCAGTCGGCACTTTAATCTGACTTCACTTCACAGACCAAAGCACCCTAAGGTGAGCATCGTTCTGTGGACTATGCAGAGGCATTCAGTTCGGTTTTTATCAGTTGTGAAGTTGCTACACAGTTGATTGATGTATGATTGGAAGAGGCATCTCAACACACCACCTTTTGAAAGCTTAAATATAATGGTTTTCTTGTCCTGCTGCTCTATTACATGAAATCAGTCCGCGTGCGATCAGGAGCCGCTCTTCTTTGACGAGCAATTTCGATCGCAGCTCTTACTACAGCTCTTTCAGATTGGAAGGTGAGAACCAGCAGAGTGTAGGCCCTATTTGGCGAGATGATCTGGCTTTTAGGTTGTACTGGTGCTGTAGTGGAACTTCCCAAGATGTGCCTTATGGATGTTGAAACGCTGTGGGGGAGGTCAGTACTTGGCGACAGTTAGGACTGACGCATTCCACAGATCTGTTTTCACAACCCACGTCACAGACCTTCTTTCGTGGGCCCAATTGACCATCTCGAAAAAGTTTAGTGTCGCAATTGCAATTTTGCTAGGCAAATTGAGAAGAACTTTGGAGGGCAGGCGCAGGCAGTGCAGCAGTGCCGTTCCGATGCGGCACCCAGCAAAAGTGGTTATTCAAGACGCATCCCCACATGAACCGAGCGACGCTCGTGACTCAAGTGAGCATGTGACAATCTCACGAGATCTCATCTGTAGATTTGAAGATGGCCTAGAGTCCTTGTGTCATGGGCATGTTCTCATGCCACAAATGATTTGGTGCAGGACATTGAAGGTGCCGTGGCTGAGGATGGGACGATCGTTATCACTCAGTCTCGGCCGCAGGTCTAATATTTTAACTCGGCATTAGGCCCATCGACAAATACAGATCAAATCGATATGAACCACATCATCTAGATATTCCATGAAGGTCATTCCCAACAACACTGGTGGACTATCATGAATCAAATCGATTGGGTGTGTTCGGCTGACCTCATGGAATTTCTGATGTTTGGTCTTGGATGCCAAAGAGGCTCTGACCTCAAGCAGTTGGGGACGACCTTGCACCATAGCTGTTGGTCAATGTCAATGAATTTCAAAATCGTATAGAAGTTGTGACCTCCTGCTACATGGCAATCTAGAACTTTGGAAAAGACACAAAGTGTTTAGTGAACATTGGTAAGTAAACACTGTCTAAATTGTGTTCCTAATTGTTCAAAAAAAGGCCACTTGGAGGGTTGTGCCCGACAGTTGCTTCAAAGAAGGCAACCACATGCCAGCGCATGGCATCAAATAATTTTCGCCAATTCCAGAATCGTTTGCCCTGGCGAAAGAGCCAGGCATGTTTCGCAGTCATCGTTTCATAGAGCCATACGTTCGTACCACCCGGTTGAATCTTATTGAATAGAAGCTTTGTTCTTTTTTGCATTTGCTTTGGTGAAAATTCATGGCAAGGGGAGCCTCGAATGTAGTGTTAGGGCCATGGTGGCTTTCTTTTGTTAATGCACAGAGGTTGTTTTTTGTTTAGCACTACAAGCATGCTGCGGCTGCATCATTCCAGTTCACAAATCGTCGGCGGTGCGCAGCCGTTGAAAAGGGCCGAGGTTGACTATGCGGCTGCTAGGCCCTAAAGGCCAGGCCGACCAGGCCCTAGGCTTTCGGACAAAATGGCACGCAGCGACGCAGCGATGTGTCCAGTAGGAGTCCACAAAATTGGACTTGGAGCCAAAGCGCTGAGATGAATAGAGAGACTTGCACCGAAGACTTCCTGAATTGTAAGGTTCAGAGAACAACCGTCCTCACGACGAAGAAATGCCAGAATCAACCAATCAACCGATACTGTGCCAGTCATGCCTGCTGGTGGTCCTCGGGAGATCTATTTGCCGGCCAGAAGCTTTGCGTTGAGATTTTCCAGGAGAAAAGCATGCGTCGCCGCTCTTTCCACAAGAAAGGGTTTCAGCATGTGACAGTCCTATTTCAGCAGACTTCAAACGTCCAGACAAGTGAGAGATAAAGTTTCTTCCCAGTTCAATGGTTGTTTGATCCCCCTGCCTATTTCCTCTATGAAATGGGGGGGTCAGCCCCGTTTTAGAACCGCCACACCCTAGGGGGTCAGTACATCATTTTATAGAGAATTGTGTGTGTACCCCTTGTAATCACAGGGATTCCGTTGAATTGTTTTTTCTTGTTGGCAGGGGGCCCATGGACACTTGGATGGCATGGGCCAACGAAGACCCATCCAAGCTGTCGTGAAAACGTACCTGCTTGGTGCACCTGGGCGCATTGTAAGACGCAGCTGGTGGCCATTTATTCCTTTTAATTCTGCAGATGTGCACGGACCGCCGTCATCTTGTCGATCCGAACTCATCGATTTGGTGCTTGCGCTTTGGGCCTCACTTCCGTTTGAAGACCCCCAGCCTCCATTAGGTTTTACCTGTACTCTTGGGAAATGGTAACCTAGGCCGGCGTGTGGCACCGCTTTCAGTTCAGTACACCCTATCCTAAGTGTGTTTGGCCTCGTGCCAACCCGGGGTGAGCCCGTAGAGTGCCTCCCGTGGACCCGTCGAACGGGGTTTGTCGTTATCTCCCCTTCTCGGAGATGTAAGTGTCCGGAGCGGACAGCAGATGGCTTACGCCACAAGAAGTGGGATGTCTGTCTCATTTTGGATTTCCAAGTTGGCTCATGCCTCTACGTGACCGCAGCGGTCGGAGGTGGCAGCCCTTGGGCAAGCCGTATGTGGTTGCAGCGACCGAAGTTTGTTCAAGGTTCATTGGAATTCATTGGAACCTGTTGCGAGCTTAGTCCCCCCCTTGAAATGTATAGGCATACTTGTACAGGTTCCACTCCAGTGGCCTATCTAGTGTGTCCATGCTTGACTGCCATAAGGCTCAAGGGATATAGGATAAGACTCTGCGTGAGCAAAACACACTACCGGTCTGCACCTCTACCGTGTACGCCCTAGTCACTCTTTCAGTGGTAGCGGAGCAGTGATCCTGGAAGACCCAGGTGAGCTCCTTTCCTAGGCATAGAATTGCTTGTGGGCAAAACGGCCATGGATTGGATTGACGACTGGGAAGAGCCTGATGCGGATGTGGCTTATGAGCCAGCAGCCTACGTGAATAGGCATGTGAGAAGAGAACCAGCAGCGATAGCTATGACAACACAGGTCACTACAAAGGTGCCCCCATCTTATGATGGAAAGACTTCATGGTTTTCCTATGAGGATGCCATAGACGATTGGTGTGATATCACCGAGCTGGAAGATGAGAAGAGAGGACCAGCATTGAGAAACCGACTAGAAGGAGAAGCAGCGGTATACAAGCGAGTTTTAGACAGAGATGCATTGAAGGCTAATGAGCCACCAGGAGCTGGAGTAGATTACTTCAAGAGAGTACTACGACCATATTTTGTGAAAGGATCAACCAATGTATTCCTATACAGGTTTATGCAATTCGTGCGATTCAATCGAGGATCAGCCGACATGATGAAGTGGATGACAAGATTTCAGATTTTACTCCAAAGGCTTATGAGCAGTTGGATGGACATGTTGGATCCAGTAACACAGGTACACCCACAGGTACAAGCTCAAATGCAAGCTGATGCAGCAGTGACTGGAGTAGCTCCAACAGCAGAAAGAATTCAGGAAATCATGCAGAATGTGTCAATGGCAATATGAGAATTCTTCATCAGAACGATTTTCCTTTAGGAGAGAATCTCATTGCCTTACTCATGCTGTCACTTGCAGATTTGTCTCAGGACCAGCGAAACACTTTGACTTCTTTGATGACTCATCGTGGCAGGGTCCTGCAGCAATACACCACAACAGAGTTGAGGACAGTTTTCATTGAGATGTTCTGCACAACAAAGACTTCAGTAGACAATCCTCTTATGCAGCCAGCAGGTGCTGGAGGTAGAAGATCATTTCTCGTACTAGACGAAGGAGAACTCGATGGTACATTTGGCTATTGGGCCGAAGATGAAGAAGATGGAACAGAAGGATTCCTAGATGCCCTGGACGATGTCTTTTGGGTATATGATGAACAGAATTTCTCTTGGTTCCAGAGGAGATTCCAAGGAAGAAGAGCCAGAAAAGGCAAAGGAAAAGGAAGAAGAAAAGGAAAGGAAAAGGAAGATCAGGCCGCAGATTTTTCAGACCTCGAGGAAAAGGAAAAGGAAAGAGACGAGGTAAAGGCCATTATGCTGATGAGCAATCGACAACTTATCCAGAAGAGTATTATGAAGAGAATCCTTATGAGGACACTTGGGAGTCAAATCAAGTAGCATATGATGCTATCATTGCCGAAGATATGAATGACTATCTTCAAGGAGAACATGAAGATGCCAATGACTTTTGGCAACAACTTGAAGAAGCATGGTTTTCCCACAAAGGAAAGGGAAAAGGCAAGAGAAAAGGCAAGAAAGGAAAAGGAAAAGATAAAGGAGATGGCAAACAAGATGCAAACTATGCAAATCAACAACAGCCACGTTCTTTACCTGCACCTTCAAGAACTTCACAAGCATCAGGAAGCAACCAAGGTTTCTTTGCGCATTGTGTGACAACGGTAGCTGAAGTCCATGACAGTGAGGTGGACTTGCTGTCAGGCATGATGACCTCATGTCAAGATGAAGCTGACTGTAAGGTCAACAATGGTGAGACGATCTTCGATGACATGAGTGCCCCTGTGAGGTACTCTTTGTCAAAGGAGATGCTCACAGATGCTCCTGATGGCTTTGCGCTTATGAGCGCTGAGGAAGAAGTGAAAGAGACGCAGGCTATTTCATTTTTGACTGAGAATCGCTGCCCGCCAGCTATTGCAATCCTGGACATTGGATGCACTAGAGCTATGGGATCAAGGCGTGCAGTCGATTATTTTTGTAACTATGTCGACAATCATCCAGACTGTGGACTATGGTACTCTTTTGAGTCTACCAAGAGCAAGTTTTACTTTGCCAATTCTCAGAAGGCTTCTTGCTCTCAGAAACTGGTGATTTACATGTATGATCGTGCATGGACGATCCACCATGCAGAGTTTGACATAGTTGAAGAAGGAGAAGTCCCTTTGCTTATGAGCTTGCCACAGATGAGGAACTTAGGCTTTGAACTCAGGCTGACACCTCAACATGCTTACCTGACATCGGTGCCTCTTGGTATCAAATTTTTGGAGTTGAAGGTTGCAGCCAGTACTCATCTTGTTTTGGACTTCCAAGATATTGCATGGTATCTGTCTGACGTGCGTTTGCAGGCTCGGCGCGAGAAGAGCTTTTACTCTCACTTCACTCACTATGAATATGGCCATATTTCTGTTGATCACAATAGTGATGAAGATGAAGCTGAGCATGCATATCCTGTGGTTGACTACTGGGAAGTAGATCTTCACAAGAGAGAACTGACACGTCACCACAAGGATTACAGGAAGATTCTTTTCCCAGCAACTAAGTCATGTCCTGTAGACACTGACTTGCTGGAAGACTTGCGATTGACAATCATCAAGAAGAAAGAAGGTGGAGAAGAGATCAAGAAGACAGATGATTGGCGCAAGGCAAAATGGAAGGACCTACAAATTGGCTATGAATGGCGTGGTAGAACAATTTTAAGTTCAAGCCAGATGCCAAAATTCCAGATCTAAAGATCAGGAAGGCTGGCACTGAGCACCGTGGCATTGGTGATCCCGATGCAGTGGTGCGCTCCTCCTCAGAGAAGGTTCCCATTGCAAAGGACAGGGAACCAGGCTTCTCTTCAGAGAAGGAAGGTGCACCATCCAGTGCCGCGGAAAAGCCCGTGCCGCCAAAGTTTCGGTATACTTCCAAGGGTTTTGATCCATTTTGGAAAGGACACAAGTCGAAACCATCTGAGCCTCAAAAGGCTTTAAAAGGTGATGATCCTGAGGGTTATACTCCTTCAGAACCACCTGAGAGGCCAGAAGGTGAACTTGTAGAAATTC